TATGAAACGATGATGATGATGTATGTTCAGGGCTGCATTACAACATTGATTGTTCGGATCACTAGTATCTAAGTCTTCCGCTGTGCTATCTTATAACTTGTATTGAAAGGTCGGTTCTTGTTCTGGTCTGCACCTATACGGTATGCAACACACACACACACAAACACTCCTCCCTGGTCTCAGACTTTTACTAGAAGGCCAACTGTCGGAGGCTTTCATCTGAGGCAACCAGGTTCAGATCACTACAGCAGTCTCCCATCGGAACAACAGAAGTCTTGCCACACCACATCGGTGAAACAATGAGATCCCCAACCACCTGTTTCTGATCATGCTATGCCTTCTGCTTGACGGATTAGTACAGGATAACATCCCCACAACCACCCACACACTGTCATGTGGAGGTCCATGGATCTCACACTGAAGACGTCAGAGGGCTTGCCACACCAGTGATGAACAACAAGAAACCCAACGCCTGTTTCCGTCATGCCATACCCTCTGCTTAAACCACCGCTGCCCCTAACGCCATTTTAAAAACGGGCAATTTCTTTCTGAGCCTGGCCCACAGAACCAGTAGCATCAGGGAGAAAAAAAAACACGGTTGCCCCGGACACGGACACCCGGACAACCAGACACATTCACCAGACCCGTGTCTGGAATAAACCGGACGTCCAGTTAACCGGACATCTAACCGGACATAAGGACAAGCGGACCCGGACAGTCCAGTTTGGTATATCAGTGTCCGGTTGCGCGGGGAAGGGAAAAAAAAAAAAAAAAAAAAAAAAAAAAAAAAAAAAAAAAAACGATGGTGGAGCTGGCGACAGGGTTGACCTCCCCGGCAAGACAGCAATCTCCTGGACTCCTGGGCGATGGTGTGGCTGCAGCGGGTGGGAACTTCAAGGAGAGCGCTGCTGCACGAGGTGCTTCAGGGCCGGTCCGGTTTGGGTGACGGTCCAAAAAAAAGAAAAAAAAAAAGCTCTCGCGTACCCCAGGCCCGGTAAAATGGCCTGGGGACCCCAAAAAAAAAAGTCGATTTTCTTGAAATCAGAGTAAAAACTACGTTGTTCTGCCACCAGAATTTTTTTGGCCACGAAGATTTTTTTCTGTTTTTCCCCTTTCTTTTCCTGATTATCGTCATGCTTTTTTCATCAATTATTCTGACCATGAAAAATCACCAAAGTTGATGCACTAAACATCTCGTGAAAACTGGACTACTGCCCGCAGGCAAGCCTACTGGCCCACCCTGTGGCCAGCCGCAGGGGCCTGATTCCACAAAACGTTACCGCCGCTGGCACTGGTGGTTTAAAAGATCAGAGTATGCAGTAGAGTATACAGAGCAGGTTAGCGTCACCACAACCACCCACAGACAGAAAGCCCCAATCATCCAAAAATATTGTGCAGATTTTGCAAGAACTAGTGCCACCGCAACCACACAGTCACAGAGAGGCCCGATCATCCCAAAGTATCATGCAGGTTGTCAAAGAACTGACCATGGTCCGGTGACCGATGATTGCAGTGGCGGCAACAACGTTGTTGTTCGTGGATAGTGAGAGACCTGTGAGACCAATCGCATGACCTGCAACCTGCAAAAGCAATACAAGAATGTGCAACCAAGAAGGGAATAGCCATGCACAAGGAGAGATGGCAAACAAGAAGACAGTCGCGAGTAAAAAGAGGAAGACACAAAGATCGTCAGGGCCCTCACAGTTTGACAAATGTTTAGTCCCTTTCACACCAAGGCGTAGAAGGAACATGGCTCTGCAACGGGAAACTTGTGCTCTGAGGGTGTCAGGGAGCAAGTCAACATCGAATACCACCCTACTCCTGTGTCGATGCCTAACCAGCCAACCAAACTAAAAATTCCTTTCTCTGTGAAATTCCCCCTGATTGCTCATAAGTGGGCACGTAAATGATACAGGTGATTTACACATTCACAAGAAGCCCACCAATGTCAACCTTTATAGCTCACGTGACTCAGTGCCAAACACTATTGGCCTTTCCAATGCCAGCGCCAATCAATCAGGGCCACCACTTGGGCAGCATCGTCAATGTACAGCCTCGAAGCTTTTGTGAGGATTGAGCCCTCAAGTAGGGGCCTTGCCATGATGTACATGTTCTGGGCTAAGGCCCCAGCAAGCCTAGTGCCCGCCCTAAGTGAAGGCGGGCCAGCAAATCGACAAGAGCCCTCTGTGCAACATTTCACGAAGTGGGGTCCATACAGTTGCAGCACGCCAGTTGGTTGGAGTGCACCAAGTCTCGGATTTCAGCAAATGCTGAAAGCCCAGGGCCTCTGAGTTGGTTAGGCCCTGG